CTCATAACTGCTTAAAGTCTGTTTATGGTGATAGGTGATCAAGTGTGTGGGATGGCAGCATCAAAAAATCTGCATTTGAATTCTGCTTCTGTGTCTTACATAACCTGTGTGACGTGGTGCAAGTCGCTTATCTTCTCTGTAAAATGAAGATGGGGGGCAGCTAGGTGGTGCAGTGGATAGAGCACCAGCGTGGGAGTCAGGAGGGACCTGAGTTCAAATCCGGCCTGAGACACATAACACTCACTTGCTGTGGGACTCTGGGCAAGTCACTTAACCCCTGTTGCCTCATTAAAAAAAATAAATAAAATGAGGATGGACTAGCTGATCTCTAAGCTCTTCTTGACTCTAAGTATAATCCTAACTCCCCACTTCTAGGTGGGAAGAGGCATTAGCTGCATCTCTTTGCGATGGAGGAGCTTGTATCTGCCTTGAAAAATAGTGTTTATTTGTTAAATATGGCTTCATCAAAAAGACTGATATATGTAAAGCATTTTGCAAACCTAAACTGCTATATACATGTTAGTTATTCATTTGTATTAACATTTATTATAAATTTGAAAATAATGAATTATTTTATTTTTTATGGAAGACTTTTACATTTTTGGCAGCAAGTGTATTCAGTGAAAATCCTGATGAAGTCCTGGAAAATAACCATGTGCACATACCTTTCAAGCAGTATCATTTGGAAGTCCCTAAAACCCACTTTAGTACTTAGATAAAATTAATGTAATAATTTATTTCTTTCTGCAAACATTACACATCTATCATGGGGCTATGTATAAAATATGGATTTTTAGTTTATTTTATTAACTTGGGTCAGCTGTGATGTACATTTAAGAAAGAATTTCCATAAACATATATTAAGATAATGTAAATAGTCCAGATTCATGGACAGAATGCAAAATCCAAAATGGTGCATTGGTTCTTTTAATGTAATTGAATTTGAAAAAAGTGCAAATTTATTCCACATTACGATCCACTGTAATATAGGAAAATCTTCTTTGCACAGTTTACTTGTTTAGTCACATACACTTTAAGGAAAAACTCTAAATGAGGTAGTTTGAACGAATAATTGACAGAAAACCCACAGAAGTTAATGGTGCTCTAGAAAGTGTTGTTTAAAGATAGAGAGATAATGAAAGACTTTGACTCCCGTTTCTCATCTTCCATAGCTTTCAAGCTGAGGACTTACAAAGAACCCTGTCCTTTTTCCCTCTTTCTGTATCAGCTCATCAAATTTCTCTCAAGCAGTCTGTGTCAATAAGACTGTCAGTAAGACATGGAGTTTGTTGATTATTGTTCTTCGTTCTCTCAAGCCTTGCTTGTTTGAATGTTTCTATTAGCTTCATTTTTGTTTGTTTTTGAGTGGTGGTGTTAGAATTCTAAAGTTAAATGCCCCCCAAAACAGCATTTCCATTAACACAGTAGAATATGAAAAGAAGATTCTAAATGATTAGTCTCCATTTTGTACTGCTTGCTTTTTAAAAAGTATATAGGTAATTGTAAGTATTACTTTCAAAACTGGTCTGCTTCTCCATGTTTGCTTTTCCACCTCTTGTTCTGTACATTTAAAAACATGTTACAATAATGCTTTTTTTTTTTGGAGGGGGGAGGGGATCATTATTGCTAGCCCTGGATCCTTTCCCTAAAGCCCTGATACCTAAATAAAACAGGAGAAAAAGAGGGGGAAAAAAGTTTGTAATAAGCAAAGTCAAGCAAAACAAATCTACACAGAGCCATGTCTAAAAATGATGTCTCTGCACCTTGTATTCATTACATATCTGGCAGGGGGTGAGTAGCACACTTCATCATAGAGAACTGGAGACATGGTTGGTCGGTCATCGCATTGATCAGAATTCAAAGTTGTTTTTTTTTTACACTGTTGCTGTCCTTGTATAAATTGTTCTTTTGACTGTTCCGCCTTCACAAGTTCACAATATGCTGGATTCTATGAAATTGTCTTTGTTTTGACATTTTTTATAATTCAGTAATGTTGTTACATTATTATACCATAATTTGTTCAGCTATACTCCATTTTTCTTAAGAGGCAATCTAAGTTAGATTCTAGTTAACATCCCCTCCCCACCATCATCCCTTAAGGATCAAGAAATTAATTTTGGTTGTAGCTATTTCGTCTCCAGTATTCTCTTCCCTCTTTACTGCCTTCCTCCCATTCCTGATCATTTCTTTGTTGATTTTGATTTATTTTTACACTATATTCTTTGGGCATGTATTTGTATATATGTGTGTTAGTGCCTCTTCACATAGTTCCTTGTAATCCTTCAAGTTTTACCTTTCTAAAGTTTTTTTTTTTACTCTTATTTGCTTTTCAAAGTTCTTAGCTTTTATTCATCAGAAATACTCGAAAGTCCTCTAATCAATTAAAAATCCATTTTTCTACCTGAAGGGATTATACTTAGCTCTGCTTATTTTTAGTTGTGAGCTTCTTCTCTTTTGAAATATCACTTAACTCCATTGCCTAGCCAAAAAACAAAACAAACAAAAAGAAATATTATATTCCAAGATTTCTCCATTTTAGTAGAACCTCCCAGGCCTTGGTACTTGAACTTTTTCTTGAATGCTTTCAGTGTTTTTTCTTTGATGCAGATGCTCTGGATTTTAGATTTGATATGTTGTTTTCTTTCATATCTGCAGCCTCAGTTTTTGATTTGGAGCTTTGTGCCACCGCTTGCCGTGGTTTTGGGGAGTGGTAAGTCCTTCTTGACCCAAGATTAAGGCCTCCTTTATCTGTGAGGGTCACAACCATGTATCTTCAGAGTTCTCTCTAATGTCTCAGGATGGAATGTTATGGACTTGGGAGTCAGTGTACCTCCCCAAAGACTGAAAACCCATCTCATCCCACTGATTTTCAAGTATCCTGGGAGTGACTTTGGGGGACTCTTCCACTACTGTTAACTCCGACCTGAGGAGGGGAAGGGATGGAATAAGCTTTAAATAGTGTCTATTATATGTTGTCTGTTTTACAAATATTATCTCATTTGATCTTCAGTGTAAGTGCTAAGGCAGCTGAAGCAAACAGGTTAAGTGATTTGCCCCAGAGTCACAAAGCTTTTAAGTCTCAGAGACTGTATTTGAACCCAGGCCTTCCTGACTTCGGGCCAGCGTTCTATCCATTAGACCACGTAGTGACAGGCTACCAGTGTCTCTGACTTTTCTCTGATTAGATTTAGGGGGTACAGTTTGCCTCTGTTGGTGCTGGATTTTCCTGTGACCTGACTTTGTCCAGTTCTTTGTGGGGAAAAAGTCACTGCTTTTCTTCATTGTTCCTTGGTCTGGCTTGGTGAATTTTAAGTTTTTGCTGAATTAGATATGCATAAACTGCTTGGTGTGCCACTGTACAGATTGCCATTTTTGCTGGAAGTTGGACCATACAAATTCAGAGGAGGGAGACACAAATTCAGAGGAGGGAGGCAGGGAGATACAGATGCAAAGGATAAGGTCAGCAAAAGGTGATGAGAAATTTTCAGGAAGGAGAAGTACTTTGAAGTGGGGTCAAAAAATTTAATTAAATTTTAAATTTTCCTTTAGGATTTATTTTGATTACTTCTAAACCTTTATTTGGTGAGGTTTCCTGTCAGGGTGAGGAGTCATGTTGCATTTTCAGCTTTCCAGGAAAGCAGCAAAATGACATTATCCATGTATAGAGTGTTGCCTCTGATGGCAAATGGACTTGCAAGTTGAAACAAGTCTTTGTTCAAAGAGTCTTCTGTCACTTTCAAAACCATAGGTGGGATTCTGCCTGTCTGGGGGGTCTCTGGACTCGTGCAGCTGGGAGTCGTTTTGGCCAGTATTTCTGCCCCCCTCCCCTCATCTTCCTTTCTTTCCACAGGGGTTCAGGGCCGAACAACTCCTGCTTGATTTTTTATGCTTCTCGCACTCGTGAGCCGCACCGTGCACGTGGATCATTGCAGCTAAGATTGCCCAGTGGAGCTCTTCCGTAAACTGTCAATGCTGCCCGATTTTCATTTAAAAATATTTATATATTTCCGTAGATTGTAAGATGAAATTTAGTGATAGATCCACATAGAGTCTGAGGAAGGCTGACCGGCATAGGAACTCTCAGGGACATTCTGGTGCCTTCCCTCCCTCATTTCCTATTTGTTATCCTGTAGAGAGCTTGTTAGTCTGCGTACTCTCTCTCCCATTGCGATCGTGAGCTCCCTGAGGGTCAGGGCCGCTTTTGCCATTCTCTTCATCCCCAGTGCTTAGCACGGTGCCTGGCACACAGTAGGATTTTAAAAATGTTGATCAGCTGTGACTAAGTGGAAGCTTTGTCAGGCATTTAATTTTTTTTTTTTTACCTTCAACTGCCTCTAATTTTATTTACTCTGTGTGTGGGGGGGGGTAGAAAAAATGAATTTGGGCAGTCAGGAATTATACTTGAAACATGCCCTGATTATCTGCAAGTATTTCTCCAGAAGTTGTTAGACCGCTTGATGTGTTTGGGCATCAGCCCTGGCCCGGCCCGGCCCGGCGCCTCGTCCAGCCTCCCGTTCCGACCCCCAGCCCCTATTCTCCCTGACGCGGCGCGGCCCGGCCCCAGCCCCGGCCTCGGCCCCGGCCCCGGCCCCGCGGGGCTCCGCTCCGGCCCCGTTGCTGCTCGCCCACTTTGGCGGACCCTTTTGTTCAGCCCCCGAGCTTGGTGGGTTCAGTAGCGGTTTAAGAAGGAAGGGACGCTTCTCCCGCCTTAGAATGTTGAATTAATTTAACTCGGCGATTGCAGAATAAAAGAACCTCTTTTGTCTGTTGAGTTGACTTAACAGAAGTTCTTTCTGAGTAGGGCTACGGTGTCTTTAAAAAAAAAAAGCCCGCCCTGCGTCCCCCGCTCTTTGGTAGATTCCGGGGAGGCCGCCCTGACCTTGTCTCGCCCCGCCCCCGCCCCCGCCCCCGCCCGGCCCGAGTGGAACGTTCCATTTCCTGTTCCCTTGCTGCTGACACAGGAGTGTTCCTGCTGGCAGTGATCTAATCATAGTGCAGTAAGAAACATGGCAGTTTGATAAAACATGGTGGAGACAGCGGCTGAAATGGAAGCATATGTTCTAGAAGACATTCTGGAGGTAGGGCTAGGCTTGTGAATTGAAATGAAGTCAAAATCTTAACAAAGAAATCTTAGCAGATGGGTTTAAAAAAAACAGATTGAACAGATTAGAGGAAGAGGAAAGAGAACTTAGGGGTGATAAAAGCAAGAGTCAGATCTTGTTTTATGTAAAACGTACCCTTGCTGATTTCTCAGATTACTAAATGAATGTGCAGTTAATGTTAGTGTTTTCTGTGAATTTTGAGTGTTGCATATATTATAAAAGGGGGAGGGGAACTCATACTTGATAAAAAAAAGAATCACATGCTGTTGACCTTTAGGTTAACTTACTAACCTACAAAAGTGGGTCTACAAAACAGCAGTTTTGCATATTATCATATATCTTGCACGGTTCATTTACATATCTAGACCTAAAGTTGTGTTTATAGTCAGATATTAAAAAACAGCTAGCTATTTTTGATTGGTAAAATAAGCTATTAAATCTTTCATTCCAGTAACTTAAAATTAGCCAGTACACTTTTGTCTAAAAATAAGAAAATATGTTTTTGAAGCCGATCCTGGTCAGTTTAAAGCTTTTAAATGATTTAAATTACTTTAGTCAAGAAACATTTTGAAATCTTTTTTTTTATTTTGGGGGGGGCTACTTTGAACAATTAAGAGTAAGTTGTACTCTTCTGTTTAGTCACCAGAATATTATTTCTTTCTTTCCCTCTTCCCACCCCCCCCCCTCCATCAATTTTGAAAGCCTGTTTTACATTTTTCATCTATTTAAGTAAATACATATCACTTGGTGAGTCTCATAGTGAAAATGTGGATTGGTTTCGGCCTTTTGTATAGTTCACACTATTCAAGTTATAAATGTGTTTAAATCCCATTTTTATCTGTAGTGAAATTCTTTTTCTTTATGCTGTCCATTAAAGGAAAAAAAAAACTGGTGATGTTTATTTTTCTTAATAGCTAGTATTAAGCTAATTTTTGTAATTATGATTCTGCTGCCCTGAGATAAGTATATTTCTTTGAGGGGTGGAAGGTTGATAGGGGAAGAAGAAAGGATGCGCATTATGAAGGGCTGCATGATCAGTGAGCATTTTCTGGAGTCCCTCAGTGAGTGCTTGGAGCTGACATTGCAGTGAGATCTTTATGGTTGCTCTGCAGAATGAAAACTGATTCCATTGTATTACTTATCTCCTTACGGACATTTCCCAGCACACTCCCCTCCTCATCTTCGAAAAGCTATTGTTTGTTTCTAGTAGAATTTCAGTTTTGCTCTGTTTCTCTCTCTCTTTTTCTCATCCACTGCTACTGAATTTCTTCAGGAAGGGGCATGGTTAAACTATCTGCTTACAGATAGATGAAAAGATACATTTTGGGAGTGTTCTATGGGCAAATTTCAGTGGCAGAGCTTAAAAAATGTAATTCGTTATAAAAACCTAGTAGCACATGTGCATGTGTTTCAAAAGTTTTTAGTTACTAGCAACATTTTTATCAGTTTTTAAAATTTCAGTGAACCATATATTATGTACTTATTATTTTCCCAAGTTTACTTTTCGGTATTGCTAGTCTTATGCATTTGAAGTACAGATTTTTAAACATGAATGTGAAAATTATTAGTTAACATACCTTTGTATCAAAATTCTTTAAGTAATTTCTTGTTAATCTGCTTAACTATTTCCTTAATAATTGTCTCTTATTTAAATGAATGTTTAGTGGTTGAGATATTGAAAAAATTTCTGTAAAAGTTAGAAGACTTATTTTTTTCCTAAAATCTATGAATAATTATAGTAGTTCACAGTGCAAAGAGAACAAACCAATCATTATGTAGACCTGTTTTTGGGCCAGTGTACCAGTTAGTTAAAAGTGTACCTCATACAGTAGTTTAACAAATTTGAATATTGTCACTTAAGCCGTTAAGAGGAATCTGAAATATTTTTTCTTGTAAGGATTTTTTTTTCCTTGAAATAAGTCTTGAAATAATGATTAGTAATAATGGGTAGCATTTTTAATTGTGTCTTGAAGTTTGTAAGGTGCAAATCCTCACAGCAACCTTGTGTGGTAAATGCCACACAATTAATTAATTAACAACCCTATTTTACTGATGAGAAAAGAGTTGAGAGGTTAAAAGACTTGCCTAGGGTCACACAGCTAATTAATGTCTGTGGCATGATTCTTCTAGACAGCAGGTCCAGTCCTCTGTTGTACCACCTAATTGTCTAGTGAATAGTGAAATATTCATTACCGGGGAAGATTCTTTGAAGTTTGGGGAATGAGGGTGAAGGAGATAGAATATTTGTCTTCACCAGCTTTTGACTTTTTAATTTGATTTTTTTTTAATTAGAGTATGCTTAGAGATTTTCAACATAACATGGTTAATAATGCCTGAAAACAGTAAATAAATTTGTTCTAATTTTATTTATGGAATTACATGGAAAAAACTTTCCAATTATTTTTGAAGGTTATTTTTATTTTTCAAATGAGATTTTATTGATGTCATTTACTTTTCTATTACTTAGATTTCTCACTCTACTTTTCCCTGACCCCTCCTAGACAACTCAGGCCTGCACAACCTGTGGCCCACCAAAGGATTTCAGGTAGACTTCGAAAAATGTAAAGGAAATCCTTTGGTGGATCATAGATTGTGTAGGCCTGCCTTATAATAAAGTGAGGAAGAAAAAAGTTCTCTAAAACTGCACATCTATCAAAAAAGTCTGGCGCTGTAAGCTTTATCCTATACCTAGAGTCTCCTACATTTTGAAAGAAGGGAATGTGAGAGGTGATTAAAGGTTAATTTTAAAGAGTGACAGTTTGTTTTTCAAGAGTAACTATAGCTTTATTCTGAATAAATTATAATATCCTTTTCATGAGTTTGATGTTTTCTTATATAAAGGATTTTTAGAAGAATAATAACAAAAGTGGCAAAAATGAAATTCCTTAGATCGTCCATAAATATTTAATGAACGTTCTAGGGACTAGTTATACTACAACTTACATTTTAAAACAGCGTTTGCCTTTTTTTTTTTTTAATTTTCAGTTCCAAATTATCCTTTTCTTCTCTGCCACCTATTGAGAAGACGGGAAAAACAAAGCCCATTACAAATATGCACAAAACAAATTTCCCACATCAGCCATGTCCAAAAAAATTAAAAGGAAAAGAACATGCTGTGATCTGCACTCAGAGCTCATCTCTTGTTTCTGTGGAGGTGGTCAGCATGGTTTATCATGAAGCCTTTGGAATTGTACTCAGCCACCACTGTGTTGGTCAGAGTTACTGTTATTTTGTAACTTCTTTTAGTTATTGTATAAATTGTTCTTCTGACATTCCTAACATCACTTTATACAAGTTTCTCCATGTTTTTCTGAAACCATCATTTCTTAAAGCATCATCACATTCATATGCCTTGCCCAACCATTCCCCAGATAACAGGTATCCTCTCAGTTTCCAATTCTTTGCCAACAAAAAGAGAGCTGCTGTAAATATTTTTGTTCATATGGGTCCTTTTCTTCTTTCTTTGATCTCATTGGGGTATAGTCCTAGTAGTGGTATCCCTGGGTATATGAAGTTGAATAGCTTTTGGGGCATAGATCCAAATTGCTTTCCAGAATGGCTGGACAAGTTCACAACTCCACCAACAGTGTACTTGCTTATGTATTTTACAGTATTGTAGCAGAACTCTTTGAAATAGTTGAAAGACTGTATCTATATAAATATATAGGCAGAAGACTTGGAAGAGCTAAGTCACTTTGAAGTAGCATCAAACCCTTAGGGTTATTTATCAGTTTGTTATAACAATTTCCGATTTTTTCCCTCCAAATCAAATGAGAAATATCATTTAGAAATTAGAATAAGAAAATGAGGATTGTACATGAAACTGCTGTTATGTACAAAAAAGTGTTAATTCTAGGGCAGGTAGGTGGTGCAGTGGATAGAAGACTGGTCCTGGAGTCAGGAGAACCTGAATTCAAATCCGGCCTCAGACACTTGACATTTACTAAGCTGTGTGACTTTGGGCGAGTCACTTAACCCCAATTACCTCATCAAAAAAAAAGAAAAGTATCCCACAAATTTTAAAGCTTTTATGGCTTAAAAAAGCTTCAGTGACACTCCTAAGTGTTTCTTCTTTTTTAGCCTCGGTTTCATCCCTAAAATGAGACTCACTACTCATGAATACCTGTAAGTACTGTATAAATGTTTATTTGACTTTTACTGACACTTATTTCTTTGTGGTCATAGGCTCATAGATTTAGAGTTAAAAGGTGCCTTAGAGATCATTTAGTTCCATAGTGTTACAGTTGAGGAAACTGAAGGAAAGTCCTTAGAGATTGGGATTTGGCCAAGGTCAAGCAAAGTAAGTAGCAGAGGAAGGATTCAAACCTATCACCTTTTCCATTTTTGTCAGTCTAATAAATTCCAGTTGTTTGCAATGCATAAATAATACTATATGTAATTTTATTCTCTGAAAATCTTTGTTTTATTTCCTGTGTTCTTGGATGCTACTGCTAACACATTGAGAAGTTGTCAAGGCAGCTGGAAGAAGGAATAAAGATTTAGATAATTAACATGTAAAGTCAGTCATTTGAATATAAATGTGAGATAGACTATTCTCTCTAGGCTCTCCTACCTGTCTGACTACTCCTCAGGCATTTTTGCTGGTTCATCATCCATGTCCCTCTTCCAGTATTCCTGAGGCTGACTTACTATGTACTCTCTCATGTTAAGTCATGTTATGACCCCATAAGCTCTTGTAGGTTTATTTGTCACGTCTGTGTATAGTGGTATAGTATCCAACATTTCAAATTGGATAGCCCAGAAGCATTTAAAACTTTGCCTGTTCAAAACAGAACTTGTCTATTTCTGTTGAAACATCACTATCCTTTTCTAGCCTTTTAAATTCATAATGTTGTCATTACTCTAAACTCCTTATTCTCCCTTGCCCCCACAGCCAATTGGTTTCCATATCTTGCTGTTTTTTTACCGCAGAAACACTTCTCATACCCATCCCCTTCCGTCTACTTACATGATTA